TAATTTGGTTAACAATGCTAGAGTCTGACAATTTAAAGAAACTCTTTGTAGACTCAAAAGACCTTTATTCTTAAGGTATTTTGTAACAACAAAAAGTTTCTTTTTCCACTAAGGCTAGTTAAAGCTGTAGTATACCCCTTTCTACCAAAAAACCTTATCACTAGCACACTAACAATTTGAGTTGCAAAGCCCTTTGGGAGAATGAGTAGCACGGATTTGCAAAATGCTTTCAGAATTATTTTAGGTTTGGTGTCATCTTCTTTGAATGACCCCAGAAAGGGAGAAGGTGGTGATGATTGAACTTCAGTGAAGGCTTTGCCTGGACTAGCCGACTCGTCTCATTATACTCAGCAATGGACAATTCATTTCCCAAGTGGTCCCTCCGAGATATAGGACACTGCAGCTTTAACAGCCGTATCTAAATCCCAACCAGCTCTCCCCCTTTTTTTTTTATCATAAATTATCCAAAAAGAAGCCACTCTAAATAATAAATTAAATATTACTTATAAAAAGGACACCCCAGCCCCTCCCACCCTGCCCCCACACAAGCTGACAATCCGCAAAGTCAGAATTGTCGGGTTTACCCTACAATAATAAAAAACAGCATTTTTTCCTTCCTTTCCAACATTCCTTTCTTGCCTCTGAAAATACACGTTCAGCACACAGTGAGATAGATCCCTTGGCCCATGCCTTTGTGATATCTTGTAGAGTTTTGCTGTTGCTCTCCTACCAACAAAAATCATAGATGACAATGTACGAAGGCTCTCTACTGAGAGCAAGAGAAAAAAATCCTTCGGAGAGTGCAAATGGAAGTCCAACCAGCCAGCATTGTCCAGCAGCGGCGGGGAGAGCCCAGATGGACAGAACATCCTTTGCGGATGTGGGCGTGGTATTTTATCTCCTGTATAACCTCACTGAGCAAGAAACAGGCATTTCTTTTCAGAATCAATAATTTTTGAAAGTAGGTATTTCGATAGCAAGTTATTTTGAAGGATGGGTGCTTATAGTCTTCATTGGAATGGAATATCGGATAAAATACCTATACATGATTTTCCAAAGTATCTGATTTTGGTCAAAACATTGGACTCAAGTAAAAAGTTGTTTTGCACTACCCTAAAGTGTTTTCTGAAAAGTCACTAGGAAAATATAAATTATGACTGAAGGGTTGCTTTGATTGTGAGTTTTAAAAAGAGAGTATAGAAGCTCTGGAAGATTGTGTGGGCTCCATATTTGTGGAGGTGGCTATGAACAGGCTGGGACACAAAGCTCTGGCCGCAGGGCTGCGGGTACTTAGAGGAAGAGAACTGGGGTGGCAGGATAGGCAGCCCTGCTCCCGTCTCTTTTAGAGTTCAGATAGTTTTGTTTAGACACATCTAAAACTAGGGAACTTTTCTATTTTCCTTTCTTTCACTGACTAGAACTGTACATTCCAAAACAACAAGAAGTCTGAGTCTGGGATATAATCATTTTATCTAAAGTAGTAAAGTGATCTCTTGAGAGGTAACTTTTTGTTGGCCTCACAGTCTAGCTGTCATGTCTAAGACACTCTATTAAATCTGGAGACAACCTTAAGATGCTTAACAAGGTCAAGTGGAGAAGTACCAGCCATTATCTTCATGCGCAGATGCTGACAGCTTCCAGAAAGGCCTGGACTTGAGAGATTCTTAGTTGGAAAAGCCATGGAAGGCCAAATTTTATAGTTTCAAAATGTTGTGTGGAATGGTACCTTAATGCCACCCAGCTCTCCTTCGGTAGCTGGAACCAACGCAGGTGACTGAACATGTATCTCGTTTTGAATAATTCTGATTTCGGAGAAACTAATGTTATATCCGACAAGAAGCCTTAATACATCTACCTGGCTTGGTATTGTTTTCTTTTCAAGTTGCTCAATTCAATGTGATTGTGTAACACTCCAATGTAAAGTTATATTATTTAAATATTCTAGGCATTTATAGTTCTGTTATATACAGAAGTGAATATGGATGGTTTCTTATTGGATGTCAATTACAAAGAGAAATACTTAACTTTTGGCTAGGGCAGCATCCAAATATTCTTTACACATTTTGAGCTACCTGCATTCTTGTGAGTTCATAACGAACATGGACATTTCTTGAGGAAAGAAAGCAGCTTTCTTATTTGCGTGAAATATAAAGAAAAATACATTTTTTTTTTTTTTTTTAAAGAGGAGGCTCTTGCCTGACAGTTCAGTTCATTGCAGGGGAGGCCTGAGACTACTCTGCCAAGTTTGATTTTCTCCTTTTTCAGGGAGAAATGAATCCTGGTGTCAGAGCTGCTGGTTGGCTGTCAGGCATCACCCTGTGGGAGTCAGAGAGATTTATGAGCTTAAAAAAAGGCTTGCATGCCATGAATTAGACTCCGGAGGAGCAAAACAGAGGCAATCTCATAGTATTCACAGGTTTCCCGTCAAGAGATCAGGGGCCTGGGCATTGGAAAGTTACCAATCCCCAGGGATGGGTTGTACACATATGTGAACCATTTGAGGGTGCAGAGCATGGAAGGGTGCAGTTATATGGAAAATGCGGTGAAGTCAGTGAAGGTTAAAAGCACCAGGTAAATCTTAAAAGACAATAGTCTTTTAAATGGATTTTACCACATAAATGCATAGTGCTAAGACTTACCAGCTTCACCCATTCCAAAAATAAACCATGTACCATGCATTTATGTCATGAAAAAGGATTTGGGAGCACGCAGCAGAAATGTAACTCCCCCTAAAGTATTCACATATAGTTTTAATGCATCTTTTAAATCTTTACTTCCAAATGTCATTGACTTTCACTAGAGGGTTCCAGAATTGTGTGAAAATGCTATTTCTGTTGATTGTCGAATGTAATTCTACAGAGTGAAGTTTCATTCAACCCCTAAACATCTGAGATTTGCGGCCCATTCCAAGTTGAGCATGCAGAATGCTCCCGTGCTATGAAGGTTTTCTGAGAATGCTTCTCTTTGTCAGTATTACAAAGGAGCGGCTGTTTTAGAGCCTACAGGTTAGGCTGACGTGATGAACTTCTTCTTTTTGGGAAGTAATGGATTATTTCTGAAGAATTCACTATTATCTTAAGAAATGCCTTATTCCAGGTCAGTGGAGGGTTGTCTAACTAAGTGCCCACATGATAAGCAAGAGGAATCTGTCCTGTAGAATATTACCACGTGGCTCTTCCCAGGACTTCCAGAAAATCTTAGATTGAAAGAGCACTCTTGTAGAAGGAACAATTTTGCAAATGGACCGGACTTTCTAATGAACCATTTGAACAGCCCTCTCTGACATCAGATTTCCTTCCCGACATAAAACTGTAAAAAAATAATCTGAATTATTACTTCTGTTACAGTGCCATTTTGCTCAAAATATTTCATTCAGGGATTCATATATAATTACCCACCTAATAAAAGGAGCTATTAGGTTGTAAAGATCCTGTCCCTTCCATGCTTTTTTGAAATTATGACCTACTCAAGCTTGAAATCAAAGGCAGAGCTGAAAGGAATAATTCAGCGGAAACTCTTTCCTTGGATTTTCAAGTCTCCTAACTGATAAATATGCAAACTAGCTCCCTTTTGGCACTTCAGCTGCATAAACGGGGATTAACTCCAAATACAGCTGAAAATTCGGGAACTAAAAGGTTGCACACAAAATGTTCTTAATTTCAGTTAATTTCAGCTGTAGATAAACATGGCAATAGAAGTTTAAAATTCTAGCCCACGGTTTAAGATGCTGTTTCAAAAAGTATCCAGTGGGTTTATGATGTGTTGGAAGTGTCAAGTGGCACCCGGTCCTCTGCCTCTCTGTGACTCTGGCACAGCTACGGTGTAGAAGGTTCCCTTGGCAACAGGGCCTGGTGGTCAACACTTGCCAACACTGATGCCATGGGCAGAACTGGCATCATTCAAGGGAAGGTACTGTTAGAAACTGCCTTTTCTTTTTCTTCCCTTCCTCAGAGTCTGTTGCTTCCAGAGGGGGGTGGGGTGAGGGTGGGGGTGGACAGGAGATGTTGGCAAAGAAGCCATCCGGTGTGTGGAGCTGAGCACCTCACCCAAGGCTAGTTGCCAAGGAGAATTCAGGGAGGGGGGGTGGAGGGGCAGGGGAAACTCTCCGAGCCAGACTCCTGAGGAAGGTGGCCTCAGTGAAGCTTTGAGACGGGATGGCATCACAGTGAGGTATGGCACAAAAGCCACCCAAATTGAACAGTCCTATTACAAGCTTAAGCATCTAATTACCATGTATCTGAGAAGATTGCATATTGTATCCTCTTTCTGGAAATGTACTGCTGCTGGCAGGATGCCTCCGGTTGGAGATTTCTGTGTTCCTGTACTCCAGACACAAATGTGAACCAAGGGTGGATTTGCAAATACTTGCCCAAACGGGTGAATTTTACAGCCCCTTGCTAATAGCCACCCCTTGTGCAGGATGAAAGACTGAGTTACAAACATAAGCATTCTCTGCCTTTTGTTTGTTTACTTATTTACTTTTTGTGCTGTCAGGAAAGCATCCAATCCTTTGGTGCTATGTGTGAGAGAATTCCCATGGGTGCTTTGTACTTTAAAATTGAAAACAACAGAGTGAGCTTGCACTGGTTTGCCATGGCATGGTACAGGCTTAGGTAATGCACTTGCATTTTGTAAGACTAGACCTACATGTCAAATGACAGGCCTCGATGAAGCAGAACATAGGCATTAGTTATGACAGTGTGGTCACCGTAGTGGCAGAGACCCAGGACTGTTCTAGAAGCTTCAGCTTTGACATTGCAGTGAAGATGCATCGTTGCTTTTTGTGGGGACCTCATAGTCATCACTTTGCAATTTCTGATGCCTATGAAAGAAGAGATGCTTATTCCTTCCCAACTGCTTCAGGGTCTTCCTTAGCCGAGTGATTCTGGTGATTGACCTGTACACTGGTTAGAGTTCTTGGACACGGGTGTGCTGTTTATATGCAATTGGTATGCTGCAAAGTTCCTGGAAAATTCACCTCATCAGCTGGGCGATGTGTGTTAAAAAGCTGAACCTGTGATGGCATTAAGTTGCTTCATGAGCCCTTCCAAACTCGCCATTTGTTCACTCAAATCATCCTGTTCGTAAACCTATGAAGAGAATGAGAACAGAGAGTTAGTATTAACACTGAGATATGCCTTCCCTGAAGGCAGGGATCCTGGCTGGCTGGTCACTCAGGGTTCTCAAATCTGTCCTCAGAGTGCCATCACTGAAGATGCTGATAATAAGAGTGGGTGGTGATAAATGAATACATATGGTTTCGCTGACCCCTATGATAGGAAAAATGTTTCAGAATGAAAAAAACTTATTTCAAATCAAGTTCTACCAATTATTAGCTTGGTGGCCTTGGACAAGCTAGTGAAACTGAAGCATACTTTTCCTCATCTGAATTAAACTGACTTTAGTGATATCTATTTCGTAGGCACTCTGTCTAGTGCCTATCACAGTATCTCCCACCTGGTATATGTTCAATACATGATCCCCTTTTCATTTTAGTAGACTACCTAGCTCTGGATAGTGACAGAATTCTTTTTTTCTTCGTAACATGAAATAGCTAATTTTTAGTGCGAGAGTTTGATGAGCTTTGCCTTGACCAGTGACAAGTCTGGGGTTATGACTTCAGTTTGTATGTGGAAACAAAATTCACACCCCAAACCAGAGTCAGATCTAGGTACAGATATGAAGAAGCTATTTTGACATGATTTGAATGGTGGATAAACTAGGAAGTTAAACTATAAAAGCTTGTGAATCCTTTCTTGTTCTTTATAACTCACACTCACGGTAAGCCACGTCAGTAATTTTAAAGGATAATTAATTACTGTAGATGACAGGTCATTAGCCTTGGGAATTTTGATTCAGAATGTGTGGGGAGGACCTAGAAATCTATATTTACAGAAATACTTTCCTGGGTAATTTTGATGGTTAGCCAGATGGGGGAACAAGGAGAAAGAGCACTGAGGTTGGGATGGTGATTTGAATGCCGGGTCTCTTGTACACTTGCACTTTTTTTTGAATCATTCCCTTTATTTACTAATTGGGAACAGCAAATTGGCCGAACTGAATACTGAAGGACTCAGCAAGTCAGTGCTGCCTGTGGTAATTGCTCAATAAATGTTTGTTTCCTTTTTTCCTTTCTTGAAATATCATCTGTTTTGACTTATACAGATGTCCTAGTTGATTATTCTTGGCTAGTCCATTCAATTGATTAAATGATTAAACCAATAAGGCCTGATCCATGATTTCCAACTCTGCACAGGCCAAGAAGCATCGCATGGTACTGCAGTCAGAAATATACATCTAATCCTGCCATACAAATACCCTCCATCCCCAAAGAGCATTGACAGCATTACATGGTGGAGGGATAGGCACAAAGCTACACCAGCCAGTGAAGAAATATCTCAAAATGCCTGATATTAATTTATGAGCTTCCTACAGACATCTCAGCATGTCAGTGAATGATTTGGCCATATACTATATCATTTGGGGGGCTCAAGGGGATTTGAAAATATCTAATTTAGCTAAAAAGGCAGATATATATTATTGAATTGTCTAGATTTCATTATGTAATATGATAATCACTGGCCACATGTAGCCATTCCATGTATAGTCTTAAAACACAGCTAATCCAAATTGAAATGTGTTTTTCAAATGAATTACATACCAGCTTCTGAATACTTAATACAAAACCAAACATAAATTATAATAGGCATGAGCCACCACATCTGGCCTCAAAATTTTAAGAAAAAAACATCTAATAAAAATGTACTGGAAAGGAGATTCAAAAAGATGTTGCATAAAGGCAGCTGTTTATGGAAAACTTTGATTCCTTTCAGAATAATTCAGGATAAGATATTTAAAAGAAGGCCAAGAAATTAACATCTCCAATACCTTGAAAAATTAGGGAACTAGAAGAGAATTAAGATGAAAAGAGCAAATTAAAATTCTACTTTGTTCATACTTTTGGGTATTTTCCCAGCATAAATTGTGAAATGAGAATATATATGACACACATCCATCTAGTTTTTATTTTCTTCACGCACACATAGAATCTATGACATTGAGGCAGGAGATCACTGGAGGTCAGGATTTCCAGACTAGCTCGAGCTAGAGTGTGACTCTATCCTTACCTCAAATAGAAAAAGTAGCAGGGCATGATTTTGTGCCCACCTGTTGTCCCAGCTACTCAGGAGGCCGAGGCAGCAGGATGGCTGGAGGCTGGGAGTTTGAGGCTACTGTGAGCTAGGCTGAGGCCATGGCACTCTAGCCTGAGCAACAGAATAAAACTCTATCTCAAAAAAAAAAAAAAAAAATTTTTTTTTCCTTTTCCATTGATTTTCCTTCTGAGTTTTCTAATTTTTTTCTCTCCTTAAATAATTAAACTTTCATCTCTTATTTTCTAAATATGTCCATCCCTTCTTTTTTTACTTCTTAAACTTTTCCTTCATTTTGCATTTTCTTCTTTATAATTCTGTATTTCCAGGCTATTTTATGATTTTTAGAAGTAACATCTACAAAGACTTTTAAAAACTCTTTAAAATGTAGCTTTTTGTTCCGATGTTTTTCATTTTAAAGAATAATTATATAACCTGGGTGCGGAAGCAAGGCAGGCAACAGTAGTCTCAGCTACTTGGAGGCTGAGAATGGAGGGTCACTGGAGCCTAGGAATTCCAGGCTGTAGTGAACTATGGTTATGTCTGTGGATAACCACTGCACTCCAAGTGAGGCGACATAGTGAGACTCTGTCTTTAAGAAAAAGAAAAATGGAAAGAAAAAGAATTATATCCTCTTATCATGAATGACAAGGAATTTCACCACATTGAAAGGGAATATCTATATATATCTAAAGCAAACATGAAAAATTACACTTTTGTAGCTGTCTGTAGCTATATTTCTAAGATTGTTCTTAAATATTAATAATTTTTATATAACTAATGCTAATATATTTTGTTTTCCATTAAATTTGTTCTCTTCATATTTAAGAGCAGGAAAACAGACCAAAACAAACAAAAGCAAGAGCAGCCATGGTCTGGGTTGAATGGAGAGTGCTGATCGGTTTAGATGGTGTTACACAAGGTGAATGGAAAGTGCTGATTGGTTTAGATGGTATTACACAAGGTAAATGGAAAGTGCTGATTGGATTAGATGGTATTACACAAGGTAAATGGAAAGTGCTGATTGGATTAGATGGTATTACACAGGGTGAATGGAGAGTGCTGATTGGTTTAGGTGGTATTACATAGCACCAGTCCATGCTTCCCTTGATGAAGGGTGAATTTCAGAGGTTCCCTTACATTCGCTGAATCCTCCGTTGGTTTGTGGCTTTCCTCTGACACTTCAGGGGCTGTTGGCACAGACACAGGAAGCAAAGGGGATCTTGCTTTTCCAGCCAACCCAAGAGAGGCTGTTTTAACATGAGTCTTAGGAAGAGTGGGCCCTGAAATAGAAGACACAGAGTGATGAAAGTAATACATAAAACTTCCTGGGGAACAATTTCTCAAGTATGGACGCCACATCCAGTAGGCTGGCATTGATTTTAGGTTCTTGTTCATTCTGTAACGTACAGATAAACTCTGACAAAATGAACGGGCTCATTTTATTTCCACTAAATGGAAGACAAATTCTGATTAGGCTTTTCCAGATACACCTCTGCGAGTCACATGTAATTTCTAGTAGATTTCCAAATCACACAGTGACATGTTGTCTGGAAGCTCTGGACTGTTCATCACACCCTATAAAGTGTCAGGCAAGCTTATTTGGTGCCAGTCTCAGCTGAGGGCTAGAAAACCTTGTGCTAAACCACTAAATGAACCCTAAGTTGCATAATAGAACCAAAGGAGATTTGTAAAGTTAGAAAATATGGTGGTTCTGGTCTACAAATAAAGTATTAAATATTATGGTAAAACAAAGTTCTTCATGGCTAACTGGATAGAATATTTCTAATTCCCTTCCAGAAGAAAACAAGATATAATTCTGTCCTGATCATTACGGCATCTGTCAATAAAGGACATTCTACTGCTCATGAAAATCATTTGAGGAACTGCCAAGTATCGAGTAGATGATACTTCTGTCTACTATAAACAAGGGCTGCCTTTTCTTTTGGGGCCTGAAATTTACCTTATAAATCCTGCTTAGCTTCAAGCAGTGGTTCCCCATAGCCCAAAATAAAACTTTAATAAAGGCTTATTGAGTCAGCTAGTACATCCTCACAAGAAGTTTTGTTGTTATAACTAAGTGTTCAGCAGAAAGGTGTTAGAATAAGCCATGAAAAGAAGTTTTCCTCAGTTCCTGTCTACCACTGGTGATGATGTTTAAGTCCTAATGGTCCTAATGAGGAACCTACATTTTGGCAAGGAAAAGTTGTTTTGACTATACTTTGGAAAACAGAATTCTTGTTATTAAAGCTCAGAGGTTAATCTACAATCAAGAAAATAGGAGTCATTTGATTGGAAAAGAAATTATGCAAATAAAACTTAATTAACCAGCCATTCACTAGATGCTGGTCACTATCAATGATAAATCCTTACACAAGCACTCTTGCCTTAGATGTAATTCCTTCATATTTGGACCTTCTCACTCTTAATCTTAATCAAAAGTCTGCAATGGAAATGATTTTTCACTAGAGGGTGATCTTATGTTTTTAGTAGCTCAGATAAGAAGAGAAATAGAGATGAGAAACATGAGTCATTTTCTCAAGAGAAGGAAATAATATTTACTGAGTACCTACTAAAGTCTGGATCTATGTCAAGAATTTCAGTTTCATTTTAGGCAGAATAACATAGCCAAGAAGAATTTGGGATTTACAATGAGTCCAGACTGTTCAGATCTGTGCAATTGCTTGTCAACTAAAGCTGCATTGGCCTGTGTAGAATAAAAGCATAATAATAATTTGTGAGAATTAAATGATATTATCTATTTAAAGTAGCCAATATCTAGTAATCTGTTCAATGAGGGATAGCTATTATTAATACTTAATTCTTAAAACCACCCTGCTAATTATTATTATTCTAGTTCACACATGAATATACCAACGGGCAGAAAAAATACAAGGTCCAACAATGACATTTTGAGAACACATCATGGAAAAAATACTACCTGTATCTTTGCTGAACATCACTACAGTCACCTTCAAAATATTCCCCTTGGACACTGGTAGTTTTACTTGTAGAGAAACTGAATTCTTGGGCATGGCCTACAGTTATCACTATAGAAACATATTCTTATGGTGTATTTGCTGCTCCAAACCCAAACACTTGGGTATATTGCACTGTGTGTATGACAATGTGTTATAATATTATCACAATATTATATTCTATTATCACAGTAAAGCACAGACATGCCCAAAGAATACCACCACTCAAACAAGGTCATTATAATAATTGATTTTCTCTAGTACCCAGGCTCAATTATACATTCAGAATGTATGGACTGTTGAATGAACGTCTGAGATACTGTGAGCCTTACAGAAGGAACTGAAGACACTGTCTTGGCTCAAAGACCTCACAGACTATTTAAACACCAGAGAACTGCCTTTTTTCAAGGAATATTAACAGAAGCACAGACATTTAGATTGCTGGAACCTCAAGGGCTCACGTGCTCATCTCATGACCTTCTCTTTGTTTTGCTGGAGAGAATACCAAGGTCTTTGGAGATCAAGAGATCAAAGTAGAATGAATTTCAATAAAATTCCAGTAGAGGAAAAAAATTTGAACAGTCCCTGGAGTTCATTATTAGCAGAATTTGCCTGGTGCCCTCTATGGGCTTAGATATTTCTCTTTTCTTTTCTTAAAAGAGGAGTAATTTAAAAAAAAAAAAAAAAAGAGTTTGAAAGAAACTGCCCAGGAAGGATTTATTAACAACCAATTAGGTAACTTTTGTCTCAAAATTGCCCTTTAGTAGAGGAAGATAAATGTCTTAAAACATAGGTGTTCATGAAAACAACTTTTGTTGGAAAACTGATGCCATGTTCTTGGGTATGCATAACTCCATCCCTATATTATACTTGTATTTGAATAAATCCAGCATTTTGATGTTTTATGCCAATTCACTGATGACTCCTGGATCCCTACAAGCTTAGCAAGCTGTGCTTTTTCCTTTACTTACTCACATGTAGCTTATTAAGTGTAACTGGCTTCTTTCCTGATTTTGTCCCTCTTGTCTTCCCTGGGCTATGAGGCAAGCTTTTAATTCTTCCCCTCAGTCCTGAGACCTGATGAATAGCTTTTCCCAAAGCCTAAATTCTGAATTCGTCTTCTATACCATTCAAGCTGCTGTAAGCACTCCCAGCCATCTTCCCCTCCTTCTCCTGCCCTCTCCTGTTCACCAGCCCTCTACCATTCCTCTGCCTTCTCTTCCAGCCCATTCCCCTGTCCTATGGGCTCTCCCAGCCTGTTCCATGCCCCCCAGAGTTGTAGCACGGGAAGTTCCAAGTTTCATAACCCCCCCACCCCCAAGGTCTTAGTGGATGAACAATGGTGGAAATCCACCAAGGCTGTATTAATCATGGTTACATAACTATAACCATTGTGATTTGAGATATATCCATTGTCAACCAAGGCTGTATTAATCATTGTTACATAACTGTAACCATTGCTGTATCCATCACTACCCAAGCTGTAATCCCCCCAACCAGCCATGTTTTGCTTCTGTAGTATGCTTGCACAAAATTATATAAGGCAACTTGCCCACTACTGGGAGGAAACTGTCTCTCAAGGCAGTCACCTGTGCAGATTCAATACATCTCTGATTGATTGCACTTAAGGGGGGTCCGACTCTATCTTTTCAGGTCATAGGGGGCACAACAAAGAAAATAAACATCTTTATTTTAAAAATGACCATTTTCAGGGTGTACAATACTCAAGTAAGAATGAAGCATTGTCACTCAGCGTTAGAATTAATGAGTGAGGCCCACTTCTTGGTCTAACCTGAACAGGATAGTGGGAACCACTGGGGGAGCTCTCAGCTTCTGTTGGCTTGCTACTGTTGGGAGACCATTTGTCCTATATTTCATTCATCCCTATATTTTAACTGTAAAGAGGGCTTTGCCTGTAGCCTTTTCTTCACTGCTTTCAAAAGCCAGGTTAAAACTCAACTTTTTTCTTGCATCCCCTATCTCACCCATTCTGGGTTGCTCCTTATCCATGATGGGCTGCCTTAAAGCATGGTAACCTCTGCTTTATTCTGTAGTGTTTTGACACAGTGTAAGAGAGACACCATCCCTCCCACCCTGCTAAAGAAATAATGAAAGCGATAGCAATTAGGGAAAAGAAAAAACACTTCAGGGTGTTGATTTCTTGATTCTATATCAAGAAATGTTAGAATGTCCTTATAGCTTTTTCTACCTTATTATATCCAGGTTGTACCTATGGGGAAGGCTTTGTATTTATGTCCTCACTTTGGAGAATTGCACTTGCATTGATAATTGATTTAAACATAAACGATTTCCATGAAGCTTCTATGAGCTTTATTAGGGAAATGTATCAAAGCAAAATAAAAGAAAAGACAGACATTAAAAGAAGCTCTTCCCAGGCTCTGAACTGCTAATTTAATGTAATCTTAACTGGGCAATTACGATTCTCTGACTTCTATCTCAAATATGAGAAATGACTTTCAGAATGGGGTCAAGAAAACCTATCTCATTTGGACAGAAGACGATGAGTGAACCTGAGGGTGGCAGCTTGTCAGAAGAGGATCTGAGAATTGGAAGATTCTCTCTTTCCTTTGCAGACAGGCTTTGAGAAAAGGCAGGTTCTCTACCCTAAAAAGAAGCTGATCTCCATGATAAAAGGTTTTGATTTCCTGTATTATTTGTGTGTGTGTGTGTTTGCGTGATCTAGACAATGAATTTCAAACACAGAATGGGTGCTCAAATATGCAAATGTTGAGAAAACAGTCTGGCCTAGGACTCAGGAGACACAATCCTACTTAAGTTTTGTGACATTCACTCAATAGCCTAATTTCTTTGGCTCTGGCTTTTTTCACCTTTCTAAAGGTTAAACAATTTAATCTTTAAATTACTAGATATAAATATTATACAAGGGGGTATAGCTACTCTACCTGCAACTTTAATTTACATTAGTATTTCTTGTCTCTCCTAAAGGTTTAAGAAGAATTAGTTGACCCACTGAGTCCAAAGTAATACACAGTAAATGAATGCTTTCCTCAAATTGCAATAACAAGGATTTAAACAATACTTTAAAGAAAGTGAATGCTCTATCATTTCACTTAAAATTATCAATGAAAAGCTGTAACATTAGTGAGGTTTGTATCTTCTTTCTTTGTATTTCTAACAACACACAGTTTCATTAGAAATAAGTGGTGTTACATTTCTGTGAGTTTACATGATCCATGGTTAATTGAAAAATTTATATTTGCAAATGCTCAATCTGAAACCACAACCGAATTCTCCCTACCCAGGGGGCCTACTGGAGAAGTGTT